TGGTTGGCTAGCGCGGATGAGGCCGTGGGGGAGTCGAGTGGCTGCTGGATAATTAGGCCCAGCCTTTGGGATCTATTTTATAATTGCAAGGCCTTTTGTGTGTTAAAAGCACAAAGGTAGCTCTCTTTTGTGTCAGTGGTTACAACTTCAGTGGTGTAAATACCTTTAACAGACTCATTGAAAGAGATACTTCCTGTTTTCAAGACACACTATATCCCTGTCACTTGAAAGGCAAAGTGACATTGAGATGGGTTTTAAGTGTCACCTTTCACTTTCAGCACCTGGTTTACCTTGATTACACAGTGTAGCAGTTTTGATTTATACATAGGACTATGCTAATTGAAATGTCATCATGAGCAGAGACTCACTTTGGGTAATTGTCAGGGTGTAAATAGCTGTATTGTGGACATACATTACCTTCTCCAGACATGGTTAAAGTTGACTTTTTTTTTTAAATCAGAAAAGTTCAGCAGTTGAGCTTTTCAGCAGTTGAAACAGGTTTGCACTGTAACTTTATAGTACTAAAAATATCTTAATAAATTTTTAGCCTTATTAGGCCACAATAGTGGGCTTGTGTTGGAATATGTCATAACTTTGTGATATTGGTAATACTTCAGAATGTGGCACTTCAGTGATAACCTGATTACATGGTACGACCAAAACATTAGTTCAGAAACACATTTAAGTTGCAAAAGCAGCGAGGAGTCCTGTGGCACCTTAGTCACTCTATAACTGAAGTGTTTGAGCATAAGCTTTTGTGGGCAAAGACCCACTTCGTCAGATGCATGAAGTGGGTCTTTGCCCACAAAAGCTTATGCTCCAACACTTCAGTTACTCTATAAGGTGCCACAGGACTCCTCATCACTTCTGCAGATGCACACTAACACAGCTACCCCTCTCATACATGTAAGTTGGTGATAGGAAATAATGTTGCCATTCACCTTTAAGGGAGCCATGGATGATACTGTGGCTGTTCAGGAGACATGGGTCATGGGTGTGTTCAGTACTTTGCAATCTTTTCCACGACGTTTGTTTTGACTATTTTTTCCCATTAAAAGTAGCTGCCAGACTTCTGTACTGTGACCGTTACCCTTATTGGTTGTTTGTACAACTTATTGTACAACTCCACTGCTGATGGATGACCGAATGTTCAGTGTTCAAGCTCCGCACAAATGAAGCACCTGGGGAAACTTGTCTTCCAGATAAACACGAAATCCTCTGGCACCTTATGATGCATCTGCTGAAGTGGGTCTTTACCCATGAAAGCTTATGCTCCAATAAATCTCTTAGCCATCCAGCCCAGTATCCTGTCTGCCCACAGTGGCCAGCACCAGGTGCCCCAGAGAGGGTGGACTGAAGACAATGATCAAGCGATTTGTCTCCTGCCATCCCTCTCCAGCCTCTGACAAACAGAGGCCAAGGACACCATTTTATCCCCTGGCTAAAAGCCTTTTATGGACCAAACCTCCGTGAAATTATCTAGCTTCTCTTTAAACTCTGTTCTAGTCCTAGCCTTCACAGTCTCCTCCGGCGAGGAGTTCCACAGGTTGACTACGCGCTGTGTGAAGAAGAACTTTCTTTTATTAGTTTTAAACCTGCCACCCATTCATTTCATTTGGTGTCCTCTAGTTCTTATATTATGGGAACAAGTAAATAACTTTTCTTTATTCACCCTCTCCACACCACTCATGATAGAGGTATATAAAATCATATCACCCCTCAGTCTCCTCTTTTCTAAACTGAAAAGTCCCAGTCTCTTTAGCCTCTCCTCATACGGGACCCATTCCAAACTCCTAATCATTTGTGTTGCTCTTTTCTGAACCTATTCTAATGCCAAAATATCTTTTTTTTGAGGTGAGGAGACCACATCTGTACACAGTATTCAAGATGTGGGCGTACTATAGTTCTATACAGGGGCACTAAGATACTCTTCGTCTTACTTTCTATCCCTTTTTTAATAATTCCTAGCATCCTATTGGCTTTTTTTGACTGCCGCTGCACACTGCGTGGACGTTTTCAGGGAACTATCCACGATAACTCCAAGATCTCTTTCCTGATTAGTTGTAGTTAAATTAGCCCCCATCATATTGTATGTATAGTTGGGGTTATTTTTTCCAGTGTGTGTTACTTTACACTTATCCACATTAAATTTCATTTGCCTTTTTGTTGCCCAGTCACTCAGTTTGGTGAGATCTTTTTGAAGTTCTTCACACTCTGCTTTGGTCTTGACTATCTTGAACAGTTTAGTATCGTCCTCAAACTTTGCCACCTTTCTGCTTACCCCTTTCTCTAGATCATTTATGAATAAGTTGAAAAGGATTGGTCCTAGGACTGACCCTTGGGGGACACCACCAGTTACCCCTCTCCGTTCTGAGAATTTACCATTTATTCCTACCCTTTGTTTCCTGTCTTTTAACCAGTTCTCAGTCCATGAAAGGACCTTCCCTCTTATCCCATAGCAACAAGCCAGAGTTACTAGTTCCGCAATTTCCCATTTGAGTTCTTTCAGAACCCTTGGCTGAATGCCATCCGGTCCCGGTGATTTGTTCACGTTAAGTTTTTTTTCAATTTGTTCCCAAACCACCTCTAATGACACTTCAATCCGGGACAGTTCCTCAGATTCATCACCCACAAAGGACAGTGCAGGTTTGGGAATCTCCCTAACATCCTCAGCCGTGAAGACTGAAGCAAAGAAATCATTCAGACTAACACGGCTACCCCTCTGATAATTGTTTTCCAGATAGGTGAACTTGGCACGGTGTCTGTGTGTGTCTGTGTCTGTGTGTGAGTGAAAGGAAGAAGGCACGTCTCTAGAATAGGGAACAGATTTTTTTTGTTAGTTTCTAATGTGCTAAAAAAACCCTGGGGGTGGTTTTTTTTTTTTTTTTTTTTTTTTTTTTTTTATGGTACTGCCCAGTAGGCAGTACTGGCACCTCCAGTCAGAGCTTACCTGGAAAGAACAGAGTGTACTGGCACCTCTGTAATGAAAATGGCCGTCTTAAAGGGGCCGTGTCTCTTAGGACAATGACAGGCCCACCACCAGGTGTTCTGGTTTTTGGGGTTTTTTTGTTTTGGTTTTTGTTTCTTTTGCTCAACAGCTTTTCCCCTGGAGTACTGGCACCTTTTTTTGTTTGTTTTGTTTATAAAACAAACAAACAAAAAAAAGCACTGATATGATATAGATGTGCTGTTCTTTTCCCAGCACATCTTATCTTCCTGCGGGGCTCAGCAGAGAATTACAATACTGAATTTGTCATTGCCACCACGCTGCCATGAAAATTAATGCAAACACAGAATTTTGACTTTGCTGCAAATCCAAATGTTACAGGTAAGTGAAACAGAAAATTGTTGGCAGACTAATAGAATTTATAGAAGAAGTCATCTTTGTTGGTCTTTTATTGCTTTTGTAACATTAAAATGTACCAATAACTTAAGAATTACTTCATGCTCTGCAGACATTAGAAATCAGGATGAATTTTTAATGTCTCAATCCATACTGCTTGAAATCATGGAAATACAGGACTGGGAGGGCTCTTGATAATTCATCTGCACAGGAGCATGACTAAATATCATCTAGACCAGGGATCAACAACCTTTTCAAACCAAAGAGCCAAACTACATCAAAATTCAGAACAAGTGGTCAACAAAGAACTGTATAAGAATGCCTATTTGCATAACTGAAAATATACAACTTAATACTATTGATAATTGACATGATTAATAATAGCATAGATGAAACATTGTGCTCACAGACTTTATTTAATGGGACTTCTGCTGTTGCATCTTTTCACACATTTCTTTAGAGTTTACATCACAACTGGTCAAATCCAGCTTAATGCATGCATTCACGATGTCTTCTGTCAATCTTATGGCGGGGGTTGGGTATGTGAGGGTGCTGGAGTCTGGGTTGACGTGTATGAGGAGCTCCGGGCAGGGTGTTTGGGTGTATGATGGACTCAGGGCACAAGGTTGGGTGTGTGGGGGTGCAGGAGTGTTATGATGCTGCAGCCAGATGTGGGCTGGGCCCCAATTGGGGGCTTGTTGGCCAGGCTTCATTTTTAAATAAAGTAACATATTATGTCCAACACAAAAGGTTTCAACATTCTTTATTTATGGTAGGGATGGGGAACCTTTTTTTTTTGGGGGGGGGGGGTGGTCCCCC